TGCAGGGGTACATTTTTGATCTCCTCAGATCTCTTCTTTAATGCACCACGGCCCTAAGGAATAAAACAGAAGCTTGCAATGGTGACCTCCTCCTAAAAATGATAATTACCTTCACTGTGTGAGGCGCTGAAATTGGACAAGCCTGATAGTGAAGTCAAAGAACAGTCTGACCTCTTGATCTGTACACTTGGTCTGGGTCAGTGAAATCACAACGCCCTAAAATCTTGTAATCAAAAGCCAGGCAAATAGCATTTTTAAAACCAGGGCTCAGCAATGGCAGCAGGTGCTCCAAGTTGAAATGTCCCTTAAAATAAAGACCTACGTTTGAAAGATGAAACTAAAAATAACTTTCCTTCCACTATCTAGCTTTGATAAGTACTTTTTTACAGAAAACACAAAACCGTTTCATGATAGAACAAAAAATCCCTGTATAAAGAAGACGCCCCCTGCTGGTGGATGGTGTAGCATGACACTAGTGAGTTGGCACGGCTATTAAACACTACAGAAATTACAGAACAAATTACCAGTAAAGAGATCTGTACTGTCTAACTACATTCCCACTAATTGACTGCAGCATGCTAACAAGTCAGCAGAGCCCTTCTAAAGTGGAGCCGACAAAGCTACAGACTCTGGATTTTCTTGCATGTCTGATACTTGCGGGTTTACAACTTTATTTCTATCCTCACAAAGTTATTTCGACTAAAAGCTCTTGCGGCAGAGAGAGAAGAGTTCAGTTTGTGTGTCACATCTGCAGATTTTACTGGGGAATGGGCTATTTCTGAACAGATGAACTGTTCTAAGCAAGGGGTTTTCAGGCTAAGTCATTATCCCACTGTATTTATCACTGTGACTGATGCCCTGTAACCAAGTACTGCTGCCAATGTGCCACATACACAGCACATGCTAAAAACAGCTACGGGAGCGCTTCACTTCAAACCACAAAAAAATGATGCGATAAGTGTGCAAAAATACGCCATCTACACTCACCACTCTGTCACCATACAGAGCAATGACAAAGTGCGTAACCCAAGGCAACCCATCCGAATTTAACATCAATTATAACAGCTTAGAATGATGAAAAACCGTTGCTGATTGGTTGTTGCGGGTGACTGCAATGTGCATACGATTTTCGGTCTTATTTAATAAGATTGACTGTAAGTAACGAGGTAACAGTAGATCCAGTGTGCGTGTGTGTGTGTGTGTGTGTGTGTGTGTGTGTGAGAGAGAGTCCCAGGGGTAGCCTGGGTGTGTGTTTGTGTGTGTGTGTGTGTTAGTCCCAGGATAGCCTGGGTGTGTGTGTGAGTCCCAGGGGCAGCCGGTGTGTTTGTGTGTGTGTGTGTGTTAGTCCCAGGATAGCCTGGGTGTGTGTGTGAGTCCCAGGGGCAGCCGGTGTGTTTGTGTGTGTGTGTGTGTTAGTCCCAGGATAGCCTGGGTGTGTGTGTGAGTCCCAGGGGCAGCCTCGGTGCCCACCCACAAAAATATTCATACAAATCCAAAAAGTAGATATAGAGGCACCTGCAGAGGTTTTGCAGCGGAAAGAAATCAAAGCATCAGCATTTTATTACCGATAAATATATTTATGTATATATATTTATTACATATAAGTTTTTGCTTTCCCACCGTAAGGGAAAACATAACAACCAGTACTATAAGGTTAAAACAGGTCAGGCAGGCAACCAGAGGAACTCTATTTATTATTAGCCAAACGCTGAAAAAACTTGCCACAACATCCACAGAGCCGCAGGATACTCAAGGCTGTTTTAGAAGCACTCTACTTCTTCTAAGGCACAGATGGAAAACAGAAGCATACCTAAAGGTGGTGTATCAATGTAATGTCATGAACAGAAAGCAATGCATGTCTTCAGAGCACCACATGCCATATCCAGAGAGATATCCCAGGTTGATGAGACTGAGACCGATATAACAGGACAGATCTGCTGGTTTCCTTAGCTCAGTGTAGCATATCTACCCATCCCACGATGTGGTCCAGGGTCTCGTCTGCACTGGGAGTAGGGAGACGCTGCATGAAAGGCTCCGTCTGCTCCCTTAACATGAAAACTTCTGTTAAAGTCTGCTTACACTGCTGAGAATGTTGGCAGCTACATGGAATGTGGGATGGGTCAGGAACTGCTCCATAGAAAAAGAAAAAAACTTATATCAGCCACTTGGTGACTTTTTTTTTTTTTCCATGGTTGCTCTCTTGCGGTTTCCTTTTTGGTAGAAAATGTACTTTGTGGCAGTGAAAGAGGAGGACTGGATTGTGTTAACCCACTACGTGCCTAGAGCAATGCAGACAGCCTAGTCTTGAATCATTCCTCTTCCCACATTGTCTAGGCAGCCCTAACGGTTCTTTATTTCATGGTAGCAGGAACCAAGATTAACTTGAACAGAGACAGTGAAGGCTGATCATTTACACATGTGCTTTTCATGGAAGGTGGCCACAACTTAATGTATGATCACTGCACTATTGACATTACCTTCCCGCTTTCAGAGAGAAGATGAAATACCTGGTGTTTCAGGGTGGTAAAGGGGAGTATTGGCAGTCAACTATCTGGAACAAGCACTTGCACATACTTATGCAGGACCAAAGACTATCCCCCCCGAACCCATGTGACAGTGCCCCTCCATATTGGAGCCTATAGAGGGGCTTCTTCTCTTCAGTAGGCAAATGGAGTAGCAGGGAGTGAAAAGAAAGTGAGTGTACGCACTAGGGAATACAGAGAATATTGTGAACCTGTAGCTTTGTCCTGCATGGGCACAGAACAAGATCAGTTTCAATTTTGGAGGTCCAGCTTTGTAACAGACTTCTCCAAAAATCCAAGGGCTACGCTGACCACCCCCAAGAGAATACAATTTACAGCACAGGAGGCAACAGTTCAGACTATAGAATACAAATTAAAACATACAGAACATTTGCTCCTCCCTTACTTTCTAGGCTTTCTGCAGAGTGGCAGTGGGACCTGTAGCTACAGCCACTTAGAGCCATGAGCCACAAATTTAAGAGGCCTGTACATGCACTTCCTAACTGCTGGACTGGCCAAAGAGGTCTGTGTCTGCACCATTTGCTCACTGCCAACTGGTGCATGGAACTGCATTCTGGATGGATTTATCTGATGTCCAGCAATGGCTGCAAAATTCTAGAGCAGACATATGCAGTTGACTGTTTTCAGCACTGTTTGCCACCATATTGCCAAGGACACAATTGTGCACAGCACTTTTGATGGACAGCTGGCAACTACACATGCCCACACCATTCAGTGTCGTGGCTGCTAAGTAGCTGAACCCACGGGTCCCACTTCCACTCTGTAAAAACCCAGGAAGTTAAGCGAACACCCACTCCTACATCCTAGGGGGTCAGTCTCTCTCTCTCTCTCTATCTATATCTCTATATGATGTGGTGATAAATCCTGTCTAGAGCGCAGTAAAATGATCCTTCTATTCCAGCAATAAAGTGATCAACCTTTTTACAATCAGTACTCATCCAACCTTTAAACTAGCTATAAAAACGTGTTGTACAGTGTGAAATGTAGATGTGTGAAAAGAATTAAAACTCAGTGCCTTGGTATGATATTGTCTCCATTGTGCCGACTGAAAACTAGTCAAGACTTGAAAATCCAAAAGCCACAAATGATGTTATGCTTGGCTGCTTGTTACTTTTCAATGCAAATAAGATGATGACATTTACATTTTACTTTTATCTGTTATATTTCTACTTGAAGGGTTTGTCATGAAGTACAATGTTTAGATCGAAGAATTCACTTTAGGACTCCAGGGATTCATACTAGTTCTAAAGATGTGTTTAGATGAAGCACTGAGATCTTGAGAAATGCTGAATTAAGTTTTACTTGCTTATAAAAGGACATTACATCAGAATATAGCATTATACAGCATACAGAGAGAACTTCGTGTGTATCATAGATAACCATGCATATAGAAATCTAACACTGCACTAGCATTGCACTACAGCGCCATCTACAGCTCAAAAAACATAATTACAGTCATTAATACGATCAGTATGCTGTTGCATTTCCAACAGGAGCCAGGAGGAAAATTCCCAGCCATATAGTAACTTTAGCCATTCCGCTTCAGTCACTGTTTGAGTATTCCGACAACAGCACTGACTTAGGTCACTGCTCACTGACAGTGAGCTACACAGGGGTTATTGCAAAACTGATTGCCAGGGAAAAGGCGGGCATAGTGGCCACCAGTCTTACTACACAGTAATTAAGGGGAAAAATGCACTTTAATGAATCAGTCAAGTGTTGAGTTCTCCGTGCCTGGTTAACTATATACAAGACAAGAAGCAATTCTTTAAAGGTAAGTACGCACCTAACACAAATGTCACAATATTTCTGCCCAGAGATGAGCTTGGATGATTGCCCATGAAGTATATACAAGTCCTGCTGACTACGATCTTTGTTAATGAATTTGTCGCAACCATAGGGACATATTAGTAAGGTGTCTTAAACAAGAACGAATTGAATTAGTCAAACGTGTCAAAACAACCAAGATATACTGTTGCAAGGCTTACATGAAATTGGCTCTACACTTCCTATAACTCCAAAAATCTGTTGCAAAGGCTATACTGAACCACCCCAATGTGTGTACAGAGAAAACACATATGTACACATGACCAACACAAACTAAAAAGTTAACCACTTCAGTTTACAAAGCAAATGATAGGAAGCTATTTCAAGAATGCACACAAGGCCGCATCCTGTTATAAATGTATTTTTAGTTATTTTAATATTTTGCATTAAACATCTATTAAGAGAACTTTCTGCTAATATAATTCCTTGCCTATATGACCCAAGGATAGCCATGGAACACAGACTACAATAGCCCTTCAATAACTCTTCCCTGATCTAAAATGAAAAAAAAATAAATGGTTAAGGATACACTTCTTTTTGCACATTCTTAAAAAAAATGACAAGCTCTGTTTAAGTTCTTCTGTTATGTCATTTTGCAACATGAGTTACTAAACATGGTTTTTATTTTACCTGCATCATTTTCTCTTCGGTCGACTTCATCGTAAACGTCCATGGCCAGCTCTTCAAAGAGTCTGTTACTGAGCTGTGAATGAACATAGCGCTTGGTTAGTCAGCTGGTAATGGTGGGGAGTATACACATGTCCATCAGAAGAATAAAGCGGAGAGGATGGAGAAGATATAGATGGAGATAATAACAGGGGGGAATCATCTGAGCATAGACACACTGAAAGTACTGCAATTATATCAGCTTGGAGCAGCAAGTGATTAATGACAAGATAAAACATGCCACTCAGAAAACCATGACAAGCGATAGAGGAGGGTAAGTAACAAGATGGAAGCCGGGGTGAACAGCTCTATCACATAAATGACAGACATCAGCCATTAAATATATGTGTATGAAGAACACGCATCACACTGGCTTAAGAGAACTTACCGCCTGCAGCTTCTTTTTGGCAGCTTTTGCAAGTTCTGACAAATCCAAACTACAAACAAAAGAACACATTGAACAAATGGTAGGGAAAACCCATCAGTATGCATCAAACACTACGTCTTAGACAGTTCTATAGTGGACAATATAGTATTATATGATAGTAGGCAGTACAGAACATGGTATTACAGATATTTATACAAACCCAAAGTAGTTATAGAAGCACTCCCGAAACTTGCAGAGGAGACAGGTCAAAGTATCAACATCTTATTGTTGTGGGGCGACTCTTTATATAGTTTGGATTTGTATAGATATTTTTGTGCATGAGCACTATATAAAAATATATATATATATACACATATACACATACATACGGTATATACACACACATATATACCGTATATGCTGTATTCAACAGTAACCAATAAGCTTTGAATAGACTAAGGAGGGCAGACTAAAGCCAATATTTATTAGAATACTTGCCGTTCTATATTGGTATTATCCACTGTACCAGTGAACAAAGAACATATGCCCTCCAGTTCCTCTCACTTAGGGAAGTGAGACAAAATCTCTCCAACGTAAGGAAAATGCTCTCCGACAGTTGAGAGCAACCAAATAGTTATTAAATGTCCTGGCCGGATGAGGTCTTAGTGGGGTGCCATTACAGGGTTTTATGTCAATGTCCCCCTGAGTGAAAGAATGCTAATATTTTTTTGTACGAGAGTTCATATGAGACATTTCTCAGAACATTTGATAGCGTCATCAGAGACTTGACTAATGTTGTTTGAAATTTGTTGGATTTTATCATTTGATTTTAGAATGAATGGACTTTCTTGACCAAAAATCACATTCATGGTTAGAATTTCCTTAATTTCAAGAAAAATGTTCCATCCTGTTCCTTCCATTTTTTTCATCACTGCGGTCATCAAATTATTGAACGAAATTCTACTGATGTATAGCCAAGCTTATGAAAGTAAGAGCATAAATTCATGCAGCAAAGATGAGAGGACATACAAATAACCACGTTTACCATGTATTAGGCTATGTTCACACCATGTCCGGATCAGATCTGCAAACGCAGTGCAGTGCGTTTTTGCTGCGTTCCGGTGCATTTTTTAGCTTAAAATGGGCTTTCAGGTGCAGTCCAGTGCATTTGCGTGCATTTTTGATGCGTTACAATGCGTTCCCGACCAGAGAAAATGAGAGGTGCAGTGGGTTTTTTTTTGTCTGGTGTGAACAGAGCCCAGAAATACATTGGGATACATTGGAATGTTTTTTTTTGGGTCCGGAAACAAGCTGTTCTGGTCTGAACATGGTCCGGACATGGTGTGCACCAAATCAACATTATTAACACACACACACATATATATACATATATACATATACATATATATATATACATATACATA